GTGACCCAGGATACGGTTGGCCTTCTGGGCTGCAAGCACACATTGCCAGCTCATGTCCAGCTTTTCATCCACCAGTACCCTCAAGTCCTTCTCAGCAGGGCTGGTCTCAATCCCTTCATCCCCCAGCCTGTCTTGATACCCAGCATTGCCCTGACCCAGGTGCAGGACCCTGCACTTGGGTCTTGTTGAACTTCATGAGCGTGAAGCTGTATGGTGATAATCCAAACCAATTTAACCACCTAATTTCAGCTCCTTGAACAAAAATCTTTAGGTTCTCTGGTTTCCATTCATACATGCCATTTCATCAGTTAAAACTGAGGGTAGAACATGTAATTTCTTTAGTAATTTCAAACTGGAAAACCTGTAACTGCTTTGGCCTTTTTAAAGCGTCTCAGCAATCCTTTTTGTTCAAAACTGGCAGGTGAAAGCAGAAGCTACTAAAGACAATACATCAGTTTTAGATGGTTTGATAAAATAGAATTTAATTTTAAACAGTCTAGAGTACAGACCTTTCTCTTTCATGAAGACAAACCAAGAACTAATTCACAGAAGAAAAAAAATGCTGCTGTACCTAGACAGGTAGAATCATATCAGAACATACCTTAATAGTGTAACAGCCCCAAAAAACTGGTAGCATAGCTCAAAGATGCTGCTTTTTGTAGAAACATAGTTTAAAAAAGGTATATATATCCAAAATTAATATTCCAGCAAGGGATGACTGTATGACTGAGTGTACAGTGGAACACTTCTGCCAATACAGCACGCTAGGATACAAACACTCAGAAAAGAACCTTTAGTATAAATGCAGCTATACGAGTAAAATAAATAAATCTAATTTTTTTCCTAGAATACCTTATTCCAGCATCTTGTTCATCTACACACAAATAAACATAAAATTAAACTGCTCCCCAATATTTCTGACAGTTTTCTTTTCCTGGTGTAAATATGTGTCTGTCAGGGATTTTTCAAACACCTGATAATACAGCTAGAAAGTGAGAAGCCTGTAGTACAGAATTGTCCTAATAAAGAAACAATTCCACATGTTTACTTCTCCTATATTTGGGCAGGGAGAAGTGCTAGAGCTGAGTATTTTAACTGGAGGTCAGTTTTGATGGCTAGCATTTTGTTTTCAAGGGCCCTAGATTGCTGGCATTAATTTCTTAGCAGTTGAGGCAGCTTTTCATGCCTTAGTTTAGCAATATGAGAAGGCACGGAGGAAGTGAAAACTTGAACATTCTCTGATACACATAGTTTGGGACAGGCCACATAGTCAATGTTTTTATGAGAACTTAAGAAAGCAAAAATCTGCAAATGATAATAGAAATCTGAAAATCCCTGTTTTAATGGACTAAGTACTTTACACAAAACAGGGTTTTAGTATTTGGAAAACATATCTGGATGAGAAATTTACTTATGTAATTTCTGATTAATGAGAATTATACAGATAAAAGTTTTCCATATGGTGAAAATCGCTGTATTTTCTTCACCTATTTATGAACATCAACATTTTACGGCTCTTTAAATACTATAAATTTGACACTCTGTGTGGGAGGTACAAGTATTATTTTTATACAAGTGATTAGTATTTAAAAGAAGCAAACACTTTCAAGTATTAATGATTCTGATTTTGCTTACTCAAATACAGTGTGATTGGACAGTAGAGAGTAACAACAGAATTAAAATCAGGGTGTTTTTTTTGTTTGTTTGCTTTGTTTGTTTTTTTCCAAATTAGTATAGCTGTAGATTTTTGGTCTTGGAAAGCTCTGATATTTCCCCTGCAAATTTCACATACATCAAACATTAGTGTTTTATAAAAATTCTAAAGGCAACAGGATTTTCTGTTTGCTGTCAAGATTTTTGGTTTGGAATGTTTTTGCATTGAAACATCTGGGATCCTTTTCTTAGTTTGTTCCTTTGTTTTCTTTTATTTTATCTATTTCCCATTCATTTTCTTTACCAGATTTATTATCAATACTTTTATTGCCAACCTTTGCTTACTTTTGTCCTTCCACTCTAGATATTCTGTGCTCGTTTTAAGGCAAGAAAGATAAGTAAAGGCTGCACATAAAAGCCCTTACAATCACCAAAATGCCCAGTGTCCCAGACATCATACAGCTTCAACCAGAGGCAAATTAATTTTTACGGGTCTTTATTGGAAGCCTTCATGATAGACATCTGTAGCACTGCCTGGTGTGCACAGGTATTACCAATACTACTAGACATTTTTCACTGACCTCGTTGGCTGTGTTAAACTCACTTAGGTCAATTTGATGTCCAGAATACTAGCAGCTATATCTGCAGCTGAAATCAATGGACACTTAGCTCTGCATGGTTTCACTTCAAAGGAGGGAACCTCTCAGAGGGCTAGGAAACTGCATTGGTAGTCAGGCTCTGAAGAGGCACAAAAATCACGTGCATATCAACACCAGCTCTTTGCACCAGAGCTGACCAAGCCAGCAGCACTGGCAGCAGAAATTAAGACAAGAGTTGAATGCCCCAGACTACGGTACTAGCACAAAGCTGGAAAATGGCTAAGGGCAAAGACAGCAGCACCAAAGAAAAGTCAACACTATCGCAACCAAAGCCATCACATCACTGGTGCTGGCAGAACTCGGTCCCATAATGTTTTGCCCACAGGTGTGGCAGGAAGGAACAGTTATCAGCAATGATTTTCTTGGTGCTGAAGGATGGCCTGAATAGCTAGGCATTAGTCTGTGGCAGTCACCAAGGCCTCCAGAGATGCAGTGGGCTGGAATGTAGAAAAAGCAGGTAAGAAGGCTAGATGGCTTGTAAGGCACTTCTCATTTGGTCTTTCTTAAGCTAATAGCTTTCAAAGATACCAAGGACAAGGCAGAATGATATGGCAAAGATAAAATGACCCAGCCTCCTGGATGTGAAGACTTAATCCTTCTGGCATGAAGCCCCACAACTTGGAAGCAACTATGCTTCATCTGTGATATAGAAGAGCAGTGGAATTTCTCAGGCATGTTGTTCTAAGCTGTGACAAGACAAATATGTCTGGAATGAAAGTCATATGATGGAACCTGACTATCACCAGTGGTACAGAAAGATGCATTTGAAATCAAAATATAATCAAAGGAAGTCAGACACAAAGTATTGCAATTCATTGAAGAAATGAGAAGAATTGAAGGTTCAGCATATGTTACCCATTATGTCACACACAGACCATAAACGTGCCAGCTACAGATACCACAAAGACAAACTCTGGTGGCAGAACTGAAGAATGGGTGTGTGAACTAAGAACTTGCTTCTATAGATAAGCAACAGGGTGTAAAACAATTTGATCAGAAACAAAATATTTATACAATATTTTGCATATATTGTGTAAATACACAAAATATACAGTTTATGTTTTATAAAAATACAAGATTTTGCTATAAATTTTGAACTGTCAGTACCAGCTATTCCAACACTAGTGAACTGATTTTACTTCTTAAGTGTCTTTATCAGGGACTCTAGAATAGGAAGCAGAAGATATAAGGGAGGTTCTTATAAAATTCCATTCACACCAAAACCAGCCAGTAGGTTTTAAGACATTAATCTGAAGTAGATGTAAAAACAAACTGCCAAGGCAGAATAAGCTAAAGCTTGCGTCTAAATTAAAGTATGATGCTACAGGCATCGGTACAACAGGCAATACCAAAAGCAGTGTGCAACCTGTCTGTTGAAGACAGCAGCACCTAATCAAGAAGAACTTCAGGAAGTGGATGACTTTTCTTTAATGAGTCATTCAGCATGCTGTAGAGCAGAACCTCCAGGAAACACAAGGTCTGTCCACGAGTGCTGAGAGCCTGCAGCTCACGCAGCAACTCAGAAACTGTTGAGAGGACCAAGAAACACAACTTGGTCCTCAGGTGCCAAAAAAGTTTACAAGAACCAGAAGAAATTGTGAAGTGCTTGCTGCAACTGAAAGGTACTGAACTGACTGAAGACAAGCCTTAAAGCATAGATGTGTCTGCAAGGACACAACACGTAGGAAAAACAATAAGGTGTAAACTGTATGTTATCCAATTCACTCCAAGTTAAAGATTTCACTATCCAAGTTAACAGCTGGCTTCAGCAGCCTAAAAGCCTTTTGACCTTTTTATGATCAAAGTAAAATGGGAAAAAGACTGACACCACATCAAAGCTCTGGCAGAGTCTAGGTCCCACCACAATGAGAATCTGAATTAGCGAAGCTTGCCCCTTCATATCGTTACAATCAGAGGGTGAAAAATAGAAGTTTCCAATGGATTTTTAAAACTACCTCCCCAGCCCCCATGGCAATTCTGGAGAGATGCAATACACCCTTTCCGGCGGCCAGAACTGCAGTGTTATGGTCAGTACATTCAGTGAAATGACCTCATAGGTAATTTCCTCCTGCCACCCCCGTAGCAGTTATATAAGCTAGAAACAATTCTCTGTTATTTAAAAAGACCAGCAAGAACACAATGGTGTTTGCTTCTTTTATTATGAAAGATACAAAAACACAGAGTGTAGTGAAGCTCTCATTAGAAACATGAACTGTTTTTGAACCAACTTTTCTATTTACATACACAAAATTCCCCAAGTGGAACAGTATCAAATGTGAGACACATTATCAGAATATACCATATATACAAGTTCAGAGATTTAATATCTCTGTTACTCTATACATGATTGTTACACAAAAAGTCAATTCCTACCTGTCTTACACAAGTATTTTAAATTAAGGTTATGAGACTACTAAAGCAAAATAAAGCAGAATCTGGGCAAAGTTCTGCTATCTGAACAGTTACTTTATAAATATAGTACAAAATAATAAAGCCAGGTTTTCAGCCTGACACAATCTTCTATTGTGTCAAATAGTCTATGCTCCAAATTGATGGAAGTAAAATAATGGAATTTTAATGACATTAAACCAGAAATATATCTCAGGAGTCAAAGACGCACTGGTTTTCAGATCACTGATCAGTTATTAGGAAAAACAAGTTTGTTTGTTTATTTAAAAAAAACCTCTTCCCCCAAACAGAAAAGCCAAATAAAATACTTGAGCTTGCTTTGTGTGATCAGACATTCTGTTAAAAAAATAAAACAGGACACACCACTTTGTATTGTTTTTAACTGGAACCAACTACTGCTTAGTAAAATAAGGCACTTCTTTTACATCAGTCCACTTCCCCAGATTTTAGTTTAGCTCCATTTTACACAGAGAAGTCATTTCAGCTATGCCACTTGTGACAGCAAGAGGGATGTTGTTAAGAACTGTTGCTCTCCAGGCATGGATAGCCTCAACAATACCTTCTGGATTGCTTGAACCCAAGTCACACAGCGAATATATGGCTGCCAGCTGCACACCCCAGGGAACACCTGCAACAAGTTAATACAAATCACCTTATAGAAGCTTTAATATGCAATAATGTTTTTGGGAAACCTGAATCTAAAGAAACTATTAAAACTGTTAGTTCAAGAATTGGTTTTAAAACACATCAACAATTGGGATGCCAAAAAAGAGAAAAGTAGCAAGATGACAACCTGCACACAAATTCTGTAACAGCTCATTTTTATACTAATGCTTTCCAGTTTTCTGAATTCAGCAGGTTTTCAGTATTCAAAGGGCATTAAAAGATTTGAGTATCTAATGATTTTATTCTAGTTAAGGGTGATAGACTTTTATGAAAACAGTCGGGTTTACACAGAGTCTGAAAGAGACACAGACATATACCACTTACTCGGAAGAACTTGAGATTGCAAGGAAGAGAAGCTATGCAAGTGTTCAAAACAGCTCTCTAACATCAACGAATGCTTCACTGCAAAATGTAATTAACATCCAGAATAACTTCACAATATAGGTCTCTGCTGCCTTAATTGCCTTGCTTTGTCTCAGTCAGGAATTTGGACTGTCTTGCAACCCTCTCCCAATACAACAATCTAGCCAGTAGCAAGCTTCAGCATGAGCGGCTCAGGTAACTTGAGCAGTAATAGCTAATTTGCTAAGATCACCTTTTAAGTTCTCGAAGGCAGCCGATATGAAGCAATGTAATTCCAAGGTGGCTGAAACTATCTCATAGTTGTTCTCTGTCTCAAACAGAAGGTAATACACATGCTTCATTAACTTCAGAAGAGAAAGGGACTCGGACTGAAAACTGTACTGTTACGCACTAACGTAAAACTGCATACGCAGGCTGTTTTGGCATGTGCGTCTCAATTTGTGTGTTCTGTTTACATTGGTAAAACTTCACATTGCAGATGTTACACTACAGTTTCTCTAAATAAACATTACCTTCCTCTTTTGCATGTTGTACAAACAGTCCAATTACAGAACTAATATTCTTCACTGCAGCAAGATACCCTTCCTTCAAACCTATTTGGCCCAATCGACCTGAAAGAAAAAAGGTTACTATGTATCTGACATTTAGACAGTCAACTTCCTAATTTTTAGACTTACTGATTGGCTGTGGAAGTATCAACGGAAAATGAAACTTTCAATTACAAAAATCTTGTTACCATGTTGTCTTGAGAACAGTTGTCCTATTCCTTTTGTGACTAAAGGCCCCAAGGCATTTTTCATCAGATTGATCCAACCTCCCACAGGTTTACAATTTTTAAGTGTAAAACTCTCAAAGAATGCATACTGAAAATATCTATTGAACCCCAAAGTTTATCTATTTACCTCAAATGCCATCTAGCTCCCAAAAAAATGAATCTAACTTAAAATTGGTGGAGGAGGTATTACGTTGCATATAAAACCTTATTTTATACACTTTGCTATAAAGCATACGTAACTACAGATGATTTCATTATAAATACATAAATCATGTTGGTATTTGTATCGTGAAATCAGAGTAACATCTCTCAAAACTTAAGTACATGCTTTCCACAGGCTAACAAACAGAAAATATTTGCACAGGATTATAGAAGTTTGGCTTCTAAGGTGAAAATTTTTGAAGAAAGTGGGAAAAAATAATCAAGATTTAAAAAAATGCAAAAATACTTCAATTCACTTTCTAGGCAGGCTGATACTTTCAAAGGACACACACAAAGCAGAAGTTCAACCAAGAATTTAGATTACTTACCAATTAGCCTGAGTGTCAATGCTATAACACTATCAGGAATAGATTGAGCAGTTTCATGCCCCTTTCTCTTCTTTACCCATTTATCCATAGAAGGCCAAAGCACTTTGCTGGGAAAGACAAATGAATCTGAAAATTTGATACTGCATGAAGGGGTGGTACAATATTTATACTGTAACAAACACAAATGGTTCTTCTGTTTACCATGTATTTCCATAGCTCCACTTACATCTTTAATTCACCTTCTAGGGAAGCTCGTAATATTCCAAGCATCCACAAATCTAAGTAATGTAAAGAAGGTTTTAAACCCAACCAATCCAAGCTAATTTTCTGGAAGAATCATTCCTGTTCAGAATAGTATTCCTGTTCCTCTTCCATTCATTTCCCTGCAACATTCTGCATCTCTACCTAAGTCAAGAACTTACTCCACTGACTTGGGAGATGTATATGAAATCACATTACTTTCAAATGTCATGCTGCGATGTTATGCAAGCTTCTTATATGGCTGAAAATTCAATTTGCATGTTACAAGTAGGTTCTGATGTTTGTTTTTAAACTAAAAGGACCTGAGAGAAGACTTTTTTCATCTTTAAAATGATGCTAAGAGGCCTAGTTACCTGTTATCAGCACAACTCCACATAGACAATCAACTCTGTATGGCTTTAGTTGAAATGACATACCTTTCACTGAAGCTAATTTGTATTAATTTTAAAAGTATCTCACAAAAAATAACCTCTTTACTATTTGAAAGCATGGAACTTTTATAAAAGACCTAATGATGATTGAAAGTTATTTGCATTTACTTAATACTCAATGATTACGTTATGTCATAGTTAAACAAATGCCATAATTTTGGAGATTCTAGTAGGTTGTGTCACCTCTATAAAGAAAACAGGGGCTGTCAGATCAGTGTAGGTAACAAAGATCAGTGCAGGTATCAAAATGAAGTCTTTCAAACCAAGTTAAGTATGGTAGCAGTCCATGCACTGGAGTACAGAGTTCAAAGAAAATTTCAGACATTGAATGTATTATAATGATTTTGGAATTACAACCAGACTGAAATCAGGATAGTACATTAATGAATATGGTTACACTTCACTTTCAGCACTGAAGGAATGCCATTTACACATAAAAAGTTCCACCCTTATTTTCTAGTGATGGGGGGGGGGGGAATTCAACAATAAGTTCAGAGGAAAACAATCAATCATTATGCTTCATTGACAAACAATCCATCTCAAAATCTTTCACAACTGTCCACATATAGCTATTTTAAGAGCAATTCTTTATTAGAATGGTTCAAACAGGGTTAATTTCTTGGACCAGTACCACAAAATTCTACATTTCCTCATTGATCACTCATTCTATCTTAAAATAAGGCACACACACAGAGTAGTCTAGGTCTCATCAGGTTAAAACACCCTCACTTCTAAGTATCTATGCAATTATGTTTTATTAGGTTAAAAGCTGTGTCATGTCTCTAATTTGGAAAAAAAAAAAATCAATACCAAAAAACCCCACATAAAAACCACACAGGAAAACATTTGAAAGAACTGTTTGCCAAAATACCTTATAACATTGTCATGTGTCCAGTCCCACTTCAGGTGAGAGCAGAGTAGATCCACAGCAAATATGTACTGCCAAGCATCTTCACTCAGATCTTCTCCATATTGCTCACTCAGTTGCAATTCTACTTTTGGACATGTCTGCATTTCTAAAAGCAGGTTTGAGACCATAATACCAGCATCTAAAGAGGAACTCTGGAATTTTAGAAGGTGATTATCTTAATGCATGAAAAAGTTACCAACCCAGAACCAAACTCTTTATATATATTTGATTCTGACTGTCCACAGCATCTTACATCATAAATTCAACTTTGGGTTTGACTTAACACAAACAAAAAGAGTACATAAACTAAAACCTACAAGTACTCAGTATTCTTCTTGATCCTCTAACTAAAAGGAGTTTGGGAAAAAAACCCCACACACCACCCAACAACAAAAACCATGAACCCTACACCCACTCTCCTCTCTCCTCCTACAATTTGTGGATTTTTGTTTCTCTCAATTAAGCTTTAAGGTCAGAAGAGTGTTTTCCAGTGCAAGAAGACTAGACTAATCCTGCTCACTTTCTAAGTTGGGTTTGGTGGGGGTTTTTTAAATTACTTTCTGATGCTGAAATTTGTTACTATTCATTGTTCATTAGGAGCTAATTTCCAAGCAAGTATTTTCAATAGTTGAGGTAGTAATAACAGAAAATATACCATGTGATACAATTGTGCTAATTAAATATCTAGGACAAGCAATGAAATTTAAAAACAAACATCCTTTGAATATCTGAAGTTGATTAAGAAAAAATCAGGCTTATCACAAACACAGTGGGTGCTCAGCATATCTTCTCGGTACAAAAGCTCATAAGTTGGCAAGTTCTGCAATGGTACAAGTCAATAAAATGGCATACTTTGACCAAGAACTAAATACCCATTCTACATGAGCTTTACTTTCATGTATTCACAAGCAGAATAATCTTCTCGTAAAATCATATGTATAACAGACTGTCTACCACAATCCCTGTATTTCCACCTAAGTAAAAACACATCAGATAATGTCATCTGCTGTCATCAATATAGAAATTCCTAAGGTCCTCCTCCCCAACTGCAGCAGCTCTTAGATTTCATAGAGTTCCATAAAGAAAGTAGGTAGTGTGAGTGCACAGAATTTAATATTTCCAGGAACATTTACTGAGACATACTTATGTGCATCGCTGTTGGCATGAGATTGAAAGTTGTAACCTAATAGAATGGAGAATACAAATTCTTTGCTAAACAGGGATTGCAGTACAGCATAACTCTGAATACCAGTGTTTAATGCCACATCACAACTGTGATTTAATCAAAAAAGAAACATATACAAATCCAAGCCCTCTTAACTCATTCCACTGTAAATCTGCACTAAATCAGGAGGTTTATAGGGACTGTAATTCCAGTGGTACCATATTAAATTCAGTGCTAGTTTCAGATATAAACCCCCCCCCAAAAAACATCATGCTTCTTCAGTAGATACAATGCCTATAGGCTATGCTGACAGCACTAAGACTAGCTGCAGTCCCCAAGGCAGTTGTGGAGCAGCACATTAGGATAGGGAATAGGTGAGCTATGAATCAAGATGATTTTGTTCACTTGATATTTACAGAACTATGGCATTTCCACCAAGCAAGCCTGGCATTAATATGGGGTTTTCAAAACCGCTGGCGCCCTAGCCTTCAAGGAAACACACAAGCCTGTTACACAAACTCCTTCTCCAGAAGTAAAGTACCTCCAGCTTTCCATCTTCATGATATAAATTTGCTCCTAATGATAATCAAGTGTGTCCCAATATTTCCTCTTTGCAACATCCCTTTCAGGATAGTAGTATGTGACTGCTGAAAACTGACACAAATTAAATGACTCACCCAAGGGCCCAAAGACTCAAAGTCAAATCTCAAAAGTCGTTCTGCCATCACTGCAGTTTTGTACTGATCATCATCACTGCTTATGAAATTAATTGACTCATTTTTTTTGGTGATAAATGGGTATCTACAGTCTACCTCACATTAGTTGTGCAATTGTACAGACTCCATGGGAGATTCACAGAGTATCTTCATACCCTTCATCAGAAGTAAGCTGCTTGATTTTGCTCAGCCAGCAAAGCGACCAACGCAGACAAAAGCTGATACTGACAACAAAAGCAGACATTACCTGTTCCCAGTTGAGATAAGCATTCAAACAGGCCAGCATCTCACTGCTTGCACCTTGCCTAACAACTAATTGCATAGCTTTGTTAATTGCACCTTGGAAGACAAATATGTCAGGCCATACATTTGTGATAAATAAAATCAATTTTTCTGAGTCTGGAAAGTCTAAGAAAAAAAAAAGAGAGAACAAAGTAAGTTTTTAACATTTAAAAATTATAAAATATATACTCAGGCATTAAAAGTTAGTACACTCTTCAGCAACATAACTAGGAAAGAAGGCATAGAAGTCACGTAATGACTGCAGCCCAGCAAAGGGGGAGTCATACTAGCATATCTCAGCCCCAAGATTAAATAAGAAAAAAAGACCCAGGGAAAAAAAAAAACCCCACACACCCCCAAGCCATCTCCCCTATTGTAATTTCACTTTTTTTTTTTTAAAGGGGGGAAAGGCTTCACTGGACTTTGCTGTATAATGACAGTGCGAAAGGACCTTTCCTTTTGCATTTTGAGGTTAGTCTCCCTTCACCATTCTTAGTGCACTTTAGTCCACTAAGGAGAGTAGTCTTGGAGCTTTGAAACTGGATTCTTTTAGGATGAAATTAAACTGGGAGATGCACTCCAGAAGCTTACCTAATATACTAATGAGCACTCTGATCACTGGATCAAACTAGAGCTAGTCCAAAAGAAAAAATAATTCTGAGATGTGTAATAATGTAAAAAACAGGTCTTCAGTACAAATCCACAGTACTTGCTAACACCTTGCACCCATATACCTATGAAATCCACATTAAAAAAAAAAAAACAAAACCAAAAACTTTGCAAAGAACTTTCATATAATTCAAATACGAAATGTGATATTGCTCAGCAATCTTCCCAGACTCCATCAGGTAAATTATACAAGTTGTAAGTGAGCGTATATGAATGATGCATGTCAAAATTTTTATTTCCATAGACACAAAAACGTGTGCTACTGATACAATTGAAGAAACCTCATTTGTTAAATTAATTCAGAGCAAGTATCTGACAACTGTATATCCAGAACAATATGCGTAAGAAAGGACAGAGTTCCAAGCCATCAAATGGAAGCTAACAGAACCTTCTGAACACCAACGCAGAGATCTTCAAGGCAAAATATTAAGAGAAAACATGAGTGTGTAAACTGCAAGCAATAAGAAGTACACTGGAATAAGCAAGACGTAGATATTACTTTCATGCATGAAATAAAATACTGCAATAAATATGCCTGAAACACTACTGTCACTATAAAAAGTTATAAAAAAACATGAAAACTGAAAAGCTAAATGTGTCTTCCCTCTTCACTTCAGCATAACTTCTACATTTTTAGAAAGATCTTAAGATCTACTATTTTTTTTTGTTTAAACTTTGAAAGATTGAGGTGCTACAGTGTATCCAAAGAAGGGCAATGAAGCTGGTGAGGGGTCTGGAGCACAAGTCTTATGAGGAGCTGCTGAGGGAACTGTGCTTGTTCAGTCTGGAGAAGAGGAGGCTGAGGGGAGACCTTATCACTCTCTACAACTACCTGAAAGGGGGTTGTGGCAACGAGGGTGTTGGTCTCCCAAGTAACTAGCGATAGAACAAGAGGAAATGGCCTCAAGTTGCGCCAGGGGAGGTTTAGACTAGATATTAGGAAGAATTTCATTACTGAGAGAGAGGTCAAACATTGGCACAGGCTGCCCAGGGAGGTGGTGGAGTCACCATCACTGGAAGTATTCAAAAAATGTGTAGATGTGGTACTTCAGGATATAGTTTAGTGGGCACGGTGGTGTTGGATTGATGGTTGGACTTGATGATCTTAAAGGTCTTTTCCAACCTTAATGATTCTGTGATTCTGTAACTAGCGAGCATATGGAGATACATCACATCCAGAAGTTTTAATGGATTCAACCGAGCATAAAGAATTTACAGAGTTTTATCCAGTGTCTTGGATGGACCTTCTCTATTTTGAAGCCCCTCATCACATAAGAAGAAACTTTTTTTTTGTCAGAACAAGGACTGTTGCTAAATTAGAATTATCTACATGCTGCAACTTCAACTGCCTGCCCATGAATTTGGAACACTTAAAAGACTCAGTGATGAGGAAGAGTTAAACAGGCATCAAAAGAAGAAAAGAGAAGAAGAAAAAAGGAGGGGAAGAGAGGAGGGGTAAAAGGAAAAATAACCAAAGAAAGGTAACATTTCATTTATAGTTATTTAAAGCAGAGTATCTGAAAAGAGAACAGAACAAAAAAGGATGGACAGGAAGACAAGAGGACAGATGATGCAAGTCTAATGAGGTAGTACTGACTGTTTATAGTCAATTTGGCAATTGTGTAGCTGGCACATAGCTCACACTTGTATTATCATAATTCTGATGGGAATTAATATGTGAAACTATATGAAAGAGAAAACCCTAAAACAAATGCATTGAATGCAAATCAAAATAAATAAAAACTCCAAACAACACTTAAGATGTGTTTACAGCTGTTCACACTCAAAAGATAGCAATAAAACCACAGAACAACCACAACAGGAATTTATGCAATTCGAAGTATAGAACAGAAAAATCATTCAACAAAAATCTACATTTAGCTACTGAAGTTTTGATCTTACCCAGAATAAGAAAGGAAAAAAATGGGAATGTTTAATATTTGCAAGAGCCCACAAAAAGACAAGTTACCAAGGTACTGCAAAATAAAAGGCTTAATTGTTAATTTAGACTAAGAAAAGATATCTGACAAGTAATAGTTTCTGACATGGTGCAGTATTAAAATTACTAACATGAAAAAAGTGAAAGGAGAGTTATGACAGACTGCATGAAGGACAGAAAAACAGATAAGAAAACAGGAATTCCAAAAAAATCACAAGCAAAAAAACCCAAACAAAAGTAACCAAACCCAAACAAAAAAAAAAGATAATTAAGAACAAAATAAAATTACAATCCTTAATAAGATAAAAAAAAAGAAAACAGAAAACAAACAGGGATGTTATATGGAAGATAACCACTAACTGAAGCAATCAAAAGTTGTACCATTTTGCTCCTCAGTGGTCTCAAATTTTATTTAATTTTAATTTGAAACACAGAAACCAGTATACTGTTTCGAGCCCTGGATGGCTCGGTATTCTCAAACTAAGTGAAATCCTTCCAGAACTAAGCCAGATTCTTAATTTAGTACAGTGATAGTATGTATGTATTACCTTTGTTACCCGGAACAAAAAGCAGGGGGGGAGACGAAGGGAACCAAAATGAAAACACCTTTCAACCAAGCAAGACTTTGGATAATGGGAAGTAATAAAACTTTTAAGGAGAACATGCTGTACAAATGGAATGGTTTTGATCAAGGTATTGTCCAGCTCCTGACACTATTTTAAGCCAATACATGTTTCTAAATCACACTTGCTTTATGAATCAGTGCTTACTCAATTAAAATTAGAAAATACTAATAAGCAAAAAGTATAAAATTCCCTGGAATCACATTAGCATTTTGGAGATGATGGGGCAAAAATGAAAGCACAGAGGATCCTAAATAAAATATTTCTTTTGAAAAATAAGATTACTAAGAGACCCGGTCATCACCAAACTGAGACACAGATGTGGAGGAACTGTGAGAAGGGAAATTTCTTCTAGAATAATCTATTCTTCTGCACTATAGAAAAAGTTCTAAGGAAAATGTCCCTTTCATAGGATTTTTGTTTGTTTGTTTTTACAAACATAATCATTCTGGAACACTACAGCAAAGACAGCATATGTATGATACAAGACCACCAAGCCATACTATACCTTCTTTAAGTAGGCTGTAGCAGAAAAGGCGGGCTCTTTCCAAATCTCCCAATTGTCGACAAGTTCCTGTATAGACTCTACATAGAGCCTGACTGAAATTGTAATTCATGGCATTCTTCTGAGCCTTGAGTTTATTGAGAATTACATGCAGCAAGGACTCTGCTAAATGCTACAAGGCACAAAAAATATTGTTAGACTATTATATACTTGAGAATATTTAATAACATTATAGTAGTGTGACAAGTAAAAAGAACTACTCTCTTATTTGCAAGAATACTGTTTGCATACATATAAAAATGCAGAGAACTAAATTAGAGGCAACCAGCAAAAGAAAAAAGAGTGAGGAGCAACTTCCCAGAATAAACGTGCCTTGAAAAGATGCAGAATAGGACTACTGTTCTTTAAATATAAATTGTTTAGTTATGTGATTAAAAACTATCTTCCTTAAAGAAAAAGTGAGGAGAGGAACAGTGGCAGGTAGAAGAACCCCAATAACCTCAGAGCAAATGGAGCTCCCTGACTTGGCTACTTCCAGAGCTGTCACAGAAGGACAAACAGCCCATTGTCCAGGTGTAAGACTTACTAGATTAGTCAACAGCAGTCTCTCCCCAGATCATCTTACACACTGCAGGAGGTGGGGAGGGGGTGTTACTGTCTACAGTAACATGGGACTCCACATGAGATACAAGGAAGGAGAATACTGGGATTGTGCAAGACTTAACTATAGGATGTTCAGAGGGAGGGCTAAAAGTGGGGAGTAGAATGAGAGGCTTAGGAGCCAGGTGCTGGAGAGGCCACAGGTTGAGACTGGCTACCTGCAGATACCAGGGAGTCTGAGTGTTGGCTTCATGAGGAATCAGAAGGTCCAAGACAGCTACCTGAAAGACCAGGGGTCTGAGGGTCAGATGCAGGCAAGCCCATAGGTCTGGACCAGCTACTGGAGCGATGTGTGTGTGCTTCTGTGACTGTAAGTCTGTCAGTGCATGAGACAAGTGGGGAAAACAGGAGTCACCTACTGGAAATACTGAGTGTCTAATGTTAGCTACCGGAGGGATCCATACTGTCTGTATATACATGTATGTATTTTCCACTACCAGGCTTTCATCCTGATCAGCCAAAGAAGGGAACAAGATTAGGTGCATATTGTGTGCATGTGTGCCTATTAGCAGTACGTATCCTGCCTTGCTACTGACTGGACCTGGAAACAAAAAGCTGCCGCAGCCTTGCTTCTATGAAGTTACCAGATTTGGCAACTTCTAACAAAGATGACCTCAGAACTTGGTAGCAACCTCTCGATAACTTAATTATATTCAAGAACTGAAACAGGGCAAAATGCTGCCATGCATCAGTTGGTGAATTGCTGTGCTACAGACTACAAATTATCTGTGAGAAAGATAGCAGTTAAAGTGAATTTTTTCAACACTGACACTAAGCAAGTTCTGAAAAACAGACTAATGCAGGATTTTTACAATAAAATTCATTTGAACAACCTGATGTAGAATAATAAAGGAATGAAAGGGTATGTCACTGTTGTATATGCAATGAAGTTTATCTTATTTAATTGAAAAAATAAAAACGGTAACCAAACCTCACACTTTTAGAGGAACTCCTTCTACAATTGTTAATGCTATCCACTACAAATAATGCTGCAAAGCCAAAGTGGTTTATGCGTACATCAGGAAAGCAAACGTATTTACAAATGCAGTTTTGCATCTTGGACACCATTGAACAGGAATTTCTTGAAGTTCTGTATTTTCTAAAGTTATACAAGTTTAGATGTCTGATAACCTTTCAAGACTGCACTTTGGCACTGCACATTACCTGAACAATTGATAATTCAAATACTACATACTTACACTCTTTTCGTTTGCACAGAAGCCATTATTAAAACACAAAATTAAAAATTATGCTACTTACCTTGTTTTTTATACCAAATTCATAGACAACTTCTTTCTCTTCATCTCTCATTATTGGAATCTTTGAGATATTGCCAACATATATGTGACCTTTAATAACTGGTAGTAAGTCAAAACAGGATTCAGCAATTTTCTTCAATGCCAAAGAAACTTTCTGGCAGTCAGGATCAATAACATTCTTTACTGGTAGTGATGCTTCTAAACTGGAACTGTGTATGGAATCACTGATTTCACAGCCTTTGTCATGGAAAGTCTCCTGCATTTCAGAGACTGTGTCTTCAGTATTGCCAATAGCAGCAATATCATTAAGCTCCAGCTTTGGTGGTTCACTGTCCAACCTCAGTCTCTTTGCACTTCTTGGCATAGATATTGGCAATAGTGTCCGTTTTTCAAGATGATTTGATGAGTTTGAAAACAATTGCTGATTTTGCACCTCTTTGTCTTCATCTTTGCTGCTATCAGATTTCAAATTGTTCCCAGTTTTAACAAAAGCAGTTGAAGTAGATGCAATTGCTTTGAACCCACCTATTTGAGCCACGGGTCCTGGCAAACTTTGGCTGTCTGAAAAAGCACATCGGTTAAGCTGAATATTGCCTTTCAGAATGTTTAGTGTCCTTGCCCTTGCAGACAGCTCTGGATACATAGTGTCCAATATTTTCACAGAGTTCTCCTGAGGAGCACCTGGAGCAACACTATCAGCTGCAAACAGGGGAAGTCTTCCTGGGACGGGAAGTGCGTGCTTTGGAATGGAAGTACAAAATTTCAAAGGTGAGGAGCGAATCTTTCTACCTACTGCCATTTCTGAGGGTGAGGGAGGAGAAAATAAAAGAGCAGATTTAGCTGTTGGAGTATCTGTTAATGGAGACATGAGAGGAGGAACAGGAGTTTCATGTAGTGGGGATATCAGGTCATCAAGAGGGGAAAGCAAAGAGGATCGACCCGTAGAAGACATTACTGGGGACATGGTATATGCAGCTTTCGGAGGAGTAGCAATCAAAGGCAGTAGCAAGGGGGGCAGAGGAGGACCCATCTCTTGCCTAATTTTATTTATAGTCTCAGATGAGCACTGTGTTGGCATAGAAGTATCAGCATTGGCAAGAACTGGCTGAGTTTGTTTAACTTTGAGAGTCTTTGTTTTTCTTTTACCTTGAAACAGCCTCTTTGATAGCTTGGCATGCATTACTTGGGCAGCTGTCTTGGTTGAAAGGGTCAAGGTTTCAGATTGTTCTCGCTCTTTGCACTCCAATTTGTTGCTCTTCTTGAGAGCAACATCCACACAAGACTCTGACTCTAACATACATAGCTTCTCAAATACTGGGTTTTGTGGCTCAGAAGGCTGCCCAACAGTCTGACAACTGCACTGTACATTACATAGGGCTGGATTTCGAAGATACTTGACAATTTTTTTTTTTCTACTGCTACCATCTAGGATAACACCAGTGTTGTTTTCTCCTATGTTGGAAGCAGTGCAAGTTTGATTATGATTATATCCTTCAAACACTGAGACTCTCATATCAACACCATATAGACTTTTCTCCACATTTGACTGAAGTTTTCCAGAATCATTTTCTTCTAAGGAATTTCCAAGTGCTAACATTCTTGTATTTAATTCACTGTTTTTTACAGCCAGTCTGCAAGTTTCTGAGAATCTGGTTAACATCAATCTATTTTTTGAAGCATTTGGTATCACAGGGCTTTCTTTTGATGTTCCAGTTAACAGACTTTCCTCACTGTCACTGATGCATCCAGCTCTGTTAGAATCTACCATACATTCATTAGCACCCTCAGTATTTTCAGAGGTTACTAACATACACTCTCTTTTCCAAGAGCCTGAGTCTTCAGTACAACACTCCCCAGCCACACTTGACAACTCATTTGCAGTATCTGGAGGAGTATTTGTTTCACAGTGTGTATCCATATCCACCATAGTGTCTCCTTTTAGATGACTAACTGTCGAAGTATTTCCTGGGTGCATGGTTGAATGAAGTTCACATACTTGGTAATCAGCATCAACAATTGCACCAGTTTCCAGAGCATCCACTGCAATTTTCCTGGAAGCTCTCAGTTCCTTTCTAAACATGGGAAGACATTCAGAACATTTCACATCTCTAACTTCTTGTATAGAACAGTCTTTCTCTTCAGATTCAGTGCTCTGCTCTGGCATATTAAAATCATTTTCAGATGTTTTTATGGCATTTTTCTCAGATGCCTCAAAACTATTCAATTCTTTGCTTTCTCCCCCAGCAGTTAGTGAACCAGTTCTAGAAGGACTTGTTCTAACCTCCCACATAGAAGTCCTGCATCCTGATTCTTGAGAATCAAACTTCTGGAGAAAAAAAGTGTTCTTCTTATAAGAGTTTGCACCCAGGATCTGTGATTGAATAGATGCCTGAGGTTCTTTATCTACTGGCTGCTCCTCCTCATCTGGAATTTTCACTTCATTTTTGTGTACATACTCCCTCTCAGGGCAGTTCAGTTCTTTGCATATGTTGTCTTTTTCAACAGATAGGATCTCAGCACCCTCTTTCAAGCTTTCTGAAGAACAGTTATACGCACTACCTGTAACACAATTTTCATCTTCTTTGTTTTCCCATGTATGGGAAAAAGTAGCCTTTTCTGTGAAATTAGTTTCAACAAAACTGACAACTTTCTGAAGACTGAAATTTAGATCGGGAGGCATTGTGGACTCCAAACCAATTCCCACTTGCACAGGAGAATCTCTGTCTTCAGTATTTATACAGCCCATCTCCAAGTCCCCTTGAGTAGACAAAGCCAAGCCACTATTAAAATCCATTTCTGAAGTAGGCTGGCAGATAATCTCTGATATATTGTTTTTCTTCACAACATTCTCTTCCCAGTTAAATGAACTGGAACATGTCTCAGCCAGCAATTCCTTGCTTTGTTTATTTAATTCCCCTTTTATTTCATCACATTTAACATTTTCAGTTACCAAGAACTGATTCAGAGGTTTTGCAAACTGTGCCTGAGAAATAAGATTACTTTCTACTGAGGCAGATTCAATGGTATCCACTCTTTCTAACAGCTCACTGCTTTCCTCTCCAAAATCTTCTGGATTAACTTTCAATTCAGTCTCTTGAGATTTAAACACTCTAAAGTTTTGAGTTTTGGACAACTCGTGTTCTAGTGTACTACACAGGTTTTCAGGTTGGTTTATTTCTGCAAAATCTAACACAGAAGATTCACACTTAGCTACGTTGCTTTCTGCATCAATAATGCAGGCTGTCTTTGGTAGTGCAAGCATACTTTGCAAGTCTGACTTCCCTTGCGATAAATTACTACCATTTTCTTCGTGGTGTGGTTTGCCTTTTAAATATCCCTCCTCCTTTCTATCTACTAATTTTCCATTTTCTGCACTATGGAGTAACGCTGACAATCCAACTATTTCTACAACACTTTCTCTGTTAAATTTCATGGCTAGCTCAATAGTCTCTGGTCTGGTTATGTCTTCAATTTTGAGCTGTTCATCATCTTTTGGAAAGGCTGACAAAGCTGTCCTCTCCATACCTACATTTTTGTCTATGTCACCCATAGACAATGAATTTCTGGTTCCTTCAACAGCAGACACAGGTAGGTAATGTCTAGAGAATTCAACAGTCTCTGGTTTGCATTCTCTGTCCATTTCATCTTTTACTGTTTGCACACGTTGCTTCTCCAGTATCTCTGTGCTGTAATGTTCTACTTCAGAGCACTGAGAGTGTGCAGAGATCTCAACAGCTCCAGTGTCTGCCTCAGTCTCTCTAATTATTCCTTCCCTATCACCCTGTATCATTAGGTCTTTAGGACACTCCACTTCACAGAAGGATTTTGAACTACTGAAATTAGATAATACATTTTCAGAGAGCTCTATCTCATTATTTGCCTCTGCACGGAGTCCCTTCATCTGCTTTGCAGCTGTTATTTCCTCTCCAGTTTTCACTTGTTTTATGCTTTCCTCTACATCTCTTGCCATATTAGTTACTTGGATTAAATTTTTTGATTCATTTTCACCCACCTCATTCTGTACCAACACATCAGATTTCTCCTCAGAATCTTCACTTTGAACCACAATGCATTGCTCAGGTGGCAAATGAGCAACATTTGGGGAAACAGATACTGCTCTGGGAGTTTCTCTCTCTCCTGATAATCCAACTCTTTCTGCTTTCACTAATTCGCCATGCTTTTCATGCGTACCCTCAAGATCAACAGCTCTGATTAAGATTACATTCTCTGTTTGCTCTAACTCTCTACATTTCTCCATCTGATTCTGAGGTTTAAAACTGTGTAATATAAAATCAGCTGAAGAACCTCGCTCTTCACTGTGCGTGTCCTCACTATCTCCTTTCTGTTTTGCGATGGCTTCCAATTCATGTGCTGTTGCTTCAGTTAGTTCTCTCTTCTCAGTTTCCTTATTCTCAGAACTCTCCTCCAAACAATCTTTGTTAGTTTCCATGTTTGTAATTGAAGTAGCAGCTTCAGCTTGCTTTGTTTCAGCACCTCTATCCTCATTGCTTGACATCTTTGGACCAATATGAACATTCTTTTCATTCCAACTCAGGTTACAGGAGCTTCCTGCATCAAGACCATGCTCGCATGATTTGCTCTGTCTGTCACACTCCTCACTGACGCTGAATACATTGCAACTCTGAGGCTGAACTTCGTCTTCTTGTAAAATATCTTCCACTGCAGAAGAATTGTAGTCAACTTCTTCGTCACTGGAACCTGTGACTTCTCCAAACAATATATCCTTCAATAAAAAATACAAAGTTAATATTCCAAAGCCTGGTGTCAGTTTTAAGATCTATTTCTTTAAATAAATACACTGGTGGCCCTGACATGCAGTGGTTTTGAGAGATTAAGACTGATCAACAGAATTACATCCTTCTCCATCATTGAATTGTGGGTTTTTTGACCACGGGGCGGTTTACACGGCACTGGGCCTCCTCGCAGCTGATGGAGTGCAACTGTCTCCACGGGGCAAAAGGATTCTTGCTCATGAGCTGGCAGGCCTCATCAAAAGGGCTTTAAAATAGATTTGAAGGGGGAAGGGGATAAAACCAGGCTCACTAGAGTTGAGCCTAGGGGTGGCATGCCAGAGTTGAAATCGATAGCCCAGCTCAAGTGCATCTACACCAATGCACGCTGCCATTCCTGTGCAGCAGGACAGCTATGATGTAGTTGCCATCACAGAAACATGGTGGGATGCTTCTCATGACTGGAGTGCTGCAATGGATGGCTACAAGCTCTTCCAAAGGGATAGGCAAGGAAGGAGAGGTGGCTCTGTATGTTAGGGAGTGTTTTGACTGTATAGAAATCAATGATTGTGAACACCAAGTAGAGTGCTTATGGGTAAGGATGAGGGGGAAGACCAATGAGGCAGATATCTTGCTGGGAGTCTGTTACAGACCACCCAACCAGGATGAAGAGGCAGATGAAGCATTCTATAAGCAACTGGCAGAAGTCTCGCATTCGCTGGCTCTTGTTGTTGTGGGGGACTTCAATCTACTGGACATCTGTTGGAAGTATAACACGGCAAGTATGGTTATACGGAAGTATAACCATCTGGGAGGTTTCTGGAGTGTGTGGA